TAAAAAGCACAAGCCTTGGGGCAGCACATAGATTAATAGAAATGGGTTAAGTTGTAAGAGCTCGTTAGTAACAAGCCTGAGCTATTGGCCAAGCATTTATAAGTAATATTAAGTCTCAGTATGTTTATCTTGGGAGTTGCTGGCAGAACAGAAACTTCCATCTAAATCTATGGAAAAAAAAGCTTCTGTAATCAAAGCAGCATGACATCAGAATATAAATAACAATAAGCCAGGGGGATGGATGCAGAACCAACCATGTGGAGAAATCCACATTCTCACAGGTAACAGATTTTCAACAAAGGCCCCAAGGAGACATATAAAATGAACATCCGTTTAATAAATGTTATCACTTGAGAAACTATGTGCAGAAGAATGGAACTAGACCCCCTACCCCAGTCAATTCTAAATGTACTGAAGACCTAAATGTAATGCCTAAACTATGAAATTACTAGAAGAAAACATAAGGAACACTTAGGACCTTGATATGAGCAGGGCTAGGTTTCTTTATTAGACCCCAAAATGCAGACAACAAAAACAAAAATAGATGATGTGATGACTAACCTCAGTTGTCAACTTGACTGGACCTAAAATCAACTAAGTTGCAAGCCTCTGGGCACTGCTGTGAGGAATATGATTTTAATTCCATAAATAGCTCAACAATACACTTGTGTACTTAAAAAATAGTAAGAGTAGTAGTCACCTTATTTACAGTTTTAAGACAAAACATTCCCCTCCACTTTCAAGCACAAGGCATGCTGGAGACTTTGTAAAGGACCCTTTCAAGTTAAGGACACACCCTTTGGCCCCCAACTCACTGGGTTTTCAACTGTGAAAAGATGTCAGAGTCAGCCAGGTTCTGTTTCTGTATCTACTAAGGTGACTACACAGCTCTTATACCCTGTTTTTGTGACGAATTACATTGAGTTTTTTTTCAAAATGGTTTACATAACATAAATTCTCTGTTTTAAAGTACAAAACTTAGTAGTGTTCGGTATATTTATGTTTTGTAACCATCGGCTCTAAAGCCAGAACACTGTCCCCGGAAAGAAACCTTACGTTGGATAGTCATTCCCAGCATCCCCCTCACTTCACCCACTGGTGACAATTAACCTGCTTTTCATCTCTGTCTACTTGTACACTTGAGGTGTGTAATTGGTTTTGCTGTTGTTTTATTTGGGGTTTTGAGGCTGAGTCTCAAACAATATAGACAAAGTTAGCCTAGAACTCACTATGTAGCCTAATCTGACCTCAAACATGCAATCCTCCTGCCTCTCACATACTAAGATTTTCTACATGCACTACCATACCTGGTCTTGGGAAGTGGTCTCCTTCTTCAAGACTCTTTTGGTTATTCTGGGTCTCTTACATTTCCCCAGGAACTCTGACATCAGTTGGTCCATCTGAGGCATCTTAGGGCCACAGCCAGTTATCAACAGATATGGAATTACTTCAGTATTTTAATGTGTATGGGGGTACCTTGCGTGTATGTGTGTGTGTGTGTGTGTGTGTGTGTGTGTGTGTGTGTGTGTGTGTGTGTGTATGTATGTGTGTGTAAGCCAGAGGGCAACCTCAGTGGTCATTTGTCGAGGAATATTGTTTTAACTAAGCAATGATATGTTACTGCTGAGGGCTGCAGGAATATATCTTAAGAACTCAGCTGGTTATGGCAAAGTCACTACCTGAAGGGATCAAGGAATTCCTTCAGAGGAAGCCAAATTCCAAGGAGCTTTTGGTGTTACTTGGCTTGTTATATATATCAGCTGTATTCTGTTATGAAAATCATGTGTGCCTTCATAGTTTTCCCAATTGATTTTTCCCTAAGAAGGGCTAACAGTGTGGACTGATCACTCTCTGGACATACACATTCAAGGTATTTGGAGAACAGCCTTAGGAAAGGCTTCTTCTGGAATCAGATATCTCCCTTACCCACTTTCAAGGACTAGCAGTAATAACAGTCCACATGCAAGTCTCTTGATTTAAGGTAAATTCCACAAAGAGACAGTGCCTAGGTCAGGTGGATGTTAAGTAATAGTTTTACACAATTTAGCTTGGACCCTCCTTTCTTACAGCCTTACTAACTTTATAGACCTCTAACTCCTTACCTAACCACTTCTAGGAATATTTAGATAACCTGCGCTGACAGCTATGCTCAGCCAGAACCCCAGTTCAAGACTCCCTATAATTATTGTCATTGGCAGCATCTGGCCAGGTCCATCCCCAGATGGAGGAAAGTACCTTATCAGAGATACCTCTGTACTCTCTAAGAACATACTTAAGTATCCATGTAAGACCCTCACTCTATTCTCTAAGATGAAGAAGGAGGCTTAGACAAAGATATCTTAATATAGATAGAACCAGACCAGTTTCAAGCTCCCAGAAATGACAGTGCCAGACCCGGGAACAAGTACAAAGTCAGGAAGAGCCATCTAGTAACAACTAATTAACAAAAGAGTGCCCCAAATGCCAGACAAAAGCCAGGCCATTTGACGGTGACTGATTAACCACGGGATATCCCAACGCCGCCAGAGATGGCACTTCTCAGCTCCGGAGATGGGCTGTAAAAGTTCTAACAGAGCAAACGGACAAACTAAAATAAGATAACCTGGAGGCTCGGGAAGATTTAGCCAATTAGAATTGTACCCGTACTAACTCCCCCACAACCTAGAGGGACTCATGGTTTTTGCCTTTAAAAAGCAAGCCTCACAAAGAAAGGGAACTCCTCCTTGCCTCGCTGCGCTGTGATGAGTGAGTGCTTGAGACGAGTTCCTGCCAGGCTTGTACACCTACAATAAACCTTGCTGTTGCATTCTGGACATCCTTGGTCTTTGGTGGTCTCTCTGGGGGTGATTTGGGCATGATATCCAGACTACCTATTTGATAAGGTCGGGCAGATGTGCCAATTAAGCTTAACTTCCTCCTTTCCCAAATCTTTCCTCTAGTTCCAGATCTCCCTTTAACTATCACTAGAGGCATCTAGCTGTACACAGGTTGCCTAGCGACCAAGCACACTTTCCCCCACCCTGCAGAAAAACAACAGATAGCTTGGACAGATAGGAGCCACAGGAAAAAGGAAGGCAGTTTTATTTTCTCCCATTGACCTAGCAACTTATAGATTCTTAACATTTTCTACCAATCATGTTTGAGGTTATAGTTGAGCACATAAGATCCCTCTTCTTAGATATTACCCAAATTTAGCCTTTAGTTAATTCATTTCCCCATTAGTCACTTCTCTTTTGGGTTGTAAATGATCATTAACAATTACTGCCCCTCTATGTGATTCTTATCATCCCTCCATTTGACCCTGGAAGCCTGGTGGTCACTGCCTGAGGAAAATCCTTACCTGCCTTTATGACCCTGTAGAATTCAAGCCTGGTGACCTTGCTCAAACCAGGGGCTTACTGTTGCCTGGGTTTATAACTGGACTCCTGAGAGACTTGGGGAGGACTTAGAGACGGAGAACGAAGAGGGATAAGGAGGATTTTGACCAGAGAGTATGTTAGGACGAGATGGAAGGTGAGGAAGAGTCAGATGGGGAAGTCCTAGCTAGGTAAGAATGGGTGAAAAGGACCTAGATGAGGCAGAATTAAGATGAGAGAATTAAGATAGAACTTAGAGGGAGCAGTAGATGAATATAGAGAGAAATCAGGCAAGAAAGGAGCTAAGCACAAGAACAGAACTGAAGCTGTGTATATGTGGATGTTATCCCAGAGGAATTAAAGCAAGTGGACTATAGAGCTCGGTGTGCTGAGATTCTATTTCCCGAAAATAGTCCTCGGTGTTTGTAGTTCTCTCTCCTGAGCCCCTGGGAAGTATTAATATTAAAGCTGGACCCTCTAATATTATACAAGATGTTACATTTGTTTATGCTGCAGACTATTACTTTAACTGTGTAAAGGTGTATTACATTTGTTTATGCTATATTTGTTTAACTATGTAAAGATGTGTTAAACTTGTTTATGCTGCATTTGTTTAATTATAAAAAGATGTGTTGCTTTTGTTTCACCTTGCCTGCCTAAGGCACCTGATTGATCTAATAAAGTGCTGAACAGCTAATAGGTAGGCAGAGAAAGGATAGGCAGGGCTGGTGGGCAGAGAGAATAAAGAGGAGAAGAAATCTAGGCTCCAAAGGAGAGGCAAGAGAAGGATGAGGAGAGAACAAGGGAGACACCCGGGGCCAGAAGCCAGGCAGCTGCCAGCCAGCAGACATGAGAAGCAGTGAGAGTAAGATACACAGAAGGAAAGAAAAATAAAAGCCCCGAGGCAAAAGGTAGACAAAGAGAAACCAGTTAACTTAAGTTAAAAGACCTGGCCTGAAAAGAGCCTAAGCTAGGCCAAGCATTCATAACTAACAAGAAGTCTCTGTGCCATGATTTGGGAGCTGGTTGGTGGCCCCAAAGGAAAAGCCTGGTATAGCCATTCTTCAGCAACTGTCTACCTTGTTTAGTGATACAGTCTCTCATTGGCCTGGAGCTCACCAAGTAGGGTATGCTGGCTGGCCAGGGAACCCCAGGAGATGCCCTGTCTCCACCTTGCCAGCTCTGGGTTCACAAGCATGCCACCATGCCCAGTTTTTTTATGTGAGTTCTGGGCATCAAATTCACGTCTCAGTTATCACCCTCGCCCATCAACAGACATGGAATGCTTTCAGTATTTTAATACCTAATGTCGCTGTATTGGTTATGTCCTGACTGAATGGCAGCTCAAAAAACAAGTAGTCATAGAAAACTCTATGCAGGTCAAATATTACTAGTCATTGCTGGAAATGCTGAGGGTAGGACTAGGGATACAGCTCAGTAAAGCACTTGCCCAGCCCTAGGTTCAAACCCCAGTACCACAACACAAGAAAGAAAAACCAAAGGCAGGACATTCTCAGATGCAAAGCTGACCTGGGACTCTAACATAGAGCTCTCCAAAGACTACCACACATGCCATTGGTCTACCCTAGAATCTCAGTTCCTAGGCACCTCTGCATGTTTATGCTTCACACACTCTATATTTACCTGGCTGCCCTTGATATCAGCGTGGGGCTCCCAGGCACCAAAATTCTGTCTGAACATCACCACCAGGCCAGTATGCTGATATCGAGGTGCCCCTAAAACCAAGCTTTGGACCCGGCTCCTCAAGATGACTGCAGAAGCATAACCTAAAAAGAATGCTTTCAATAGGCAAAGTGTTTTCCATTGAAGATCTGGCCCTCCTTTCCACAATGCAGGCCCAGTCTTAAGTAGGGCAATAGAGCAGCCCTATGCCTGATGTGTTGGGCTAACTATTATGAACATAACCAAACTTAATTTAGATTTTTTTTAATCCTTACAGCTGTCCCAAGGGCCAACAGAAGAGCCAATAGCATCCATGTCAGCTGAGTGACATCACATCTTGACCCCTTCCTAGAGCAACTCCTGCCCTCCTCACTTACCCAAGTAAGCATCATTCATGTCTGAATCCACTCGGGTTGTATTGATGAAGGCGGCTTTGTCCTTCGAGGTGTACAGAAAGGCTCCACCTGCCCAGTCAAAGCTCCCCACAGTGCCCAGCAAGGGACCACTCTGGGGATGGGAGCATTACAGGACTGAGAGTGTGGAAAGAAAGGGCCAGTGATGCCTGTCAAACAGCCTCCCCATGAGAACCTGCCACAGAGAAAAGCCCCCAAACCCTTGCGCCTCTTCTTTCTTTTCGTGCCCCATCTTCACCCCCAATTTAAACCACTCACAGAGGTGATGGTAGCACTGAAGCCTTCTTGAGACATCTCATGCTCAAAAGAGCTGGAACTTCCTGTCTGAGTGCCTACAAGGAAGAAAACGTTCTGCATTAAAGCAAGGAGAAAAGCGTGGACCAAATACCCAAATGCTGTCATTGCCAGACAAAGGGAGGCGCCCATGTTGAACACGTGCACCTTACGGGAATGGCAGGCCTTCAGCGACCTCCCTTTTCTCAAGGAAGAATAGCGTTCTGAAGGTATCTAACCTCCCAACTTTTCCACAGAAGCCGTCATCCAGATTATACATGAAATGCCCTAATGTGGTCAGGTGTTGTAGCACACACAAAGAGGCTGAGGCAAGAGATTACCATGAGCTCAAGATCATCATAGGCTACAAGATGAAACTCTACCTCAAAAACGTGTCCCTCAAAAAAAAAGTCTCTAATTTGTAAATGTACTTGATAAATATTTATTAGACACTTTCTATGTACCACACACTATTCGAGGCAGAGGAGCCATGCCAGGAAATCAGGGCTCACAGCACATACACATTCTTGGAAAATTATTGTGTAGGATTTGAATCCACCATGCTACAGTTTAATCTTCCTATAGCCTAGATTTGATAATTAGAGTCAAAAATCTAGCTTTGCTTCTTTCGAAGGAAGGGAGCAAGTCAGACCCGAGTGGCAGAAGAAGAGCTGGAGGTGGGGTGGGAATGCTAAGTAGGAACTGCTGGTCTGCACTGGGCTGACTCACCCTCAATGGCAAAGATCTTTTCCTGAAGCTGGTTCTGAATGGTCTTCAGAGCTTCAAAGTTGTCCACTTGGAACACGTGATCATTAGCTGGCTCAGACGCGATGGTATCAAGCTCTTGGCGGGATTTCTTATTGTTGAAGGCATTTCCCACCTGTTTCCAAAGAGCAGAAGCTAGACTATGTATTCTCCGATGGTAGCAGCGGCATCTAGCAAAGACAATTCTGAACAAAGGAATCTGAAACTTCTGTCAAATAAAGAGTTCACCAGAAAGCACTTAGAACAGGGCTGCTGGGGACAGTCAGGTTTGTGCACCACAGGGAGCAATTTGGTGTGCAGATTGTCATCCATTTGTTACGCCATTCCTTCTGGTAGGGGGCTGACATCCCCAGCAAAAGAGAATCCTCTTTAAAATTATGCTTTTAACTCTCCCCTCCCCACCCCCCGTGCGCGTGCATTCATGCGTGCGTGCGTGCGTGCGTGCGTGTGTGTGTGTGTGTGTGTGTGTGTGTGTGTGTATGCATGTGTCTTTGTGTGGGTCCATGTACAGGTGGGCTGGAGGCCAGAGGCGTCAGATCCCTTGGAGCTGGAGTTGCAAGCTTGTCATGAGTCACCTGCCCCGAGGGCTGGCCCTCTAGAAAAACAGTGAGTGCTCTTACTGGGCCATCTTTCCAGCCCCGAGAGAATCCCTGTGATAGGGGGAGGTCCTTCTTACATGCCATTCTACAAGTTCATACCTTTCTCTATGTCATACAGGGTGGCGCGCAAGTGTAGCGGCACTGGTGAGCCTCACACTTTACCTCTTTCTGTACCCAAGCCCTTTTCCCAAATTTTGCCACACCCACCCACTCATGGACAGTCCTGCCCAGCTCACTGTCTCTGCATCAGCCCATGATTGGTACCAAATGTGATGCTAACAGAAACTAGTCAAAAGCACCTGCAACATCTGTCTCCTTTCTCCTCAGCCTTTCTCATAAGGGGATCCCTGGGGGGGGAGGGCACCGGAGAATGAGACCCAGTGAGTAGTAGAGCCAAATTACCAACTTGTCCCCAGCAAGGCCATCTGCCCAGCAGACAAGCATAACTGTCATCCAAAAGTGGATCCAGCAAAGGCAAGGTCGGTAGATCTGCCCACCAGCCTGCAGCTAACGGCAGATATGTGAGCCTTGCTGAGACCAGGAAAACAATCCGGCCAAATTACAAGCTGACTTATATTAAGCTACTGAGGGCTGGAGAGATGGCCCAGCCATCAAAGGCTAGGCTCATAACCAAAAGTGTTGAGCCACTGAATTTGGGATGATTTGTTATATATACAGTATTATTGTGGTGTAGATATGTGCTAGCAGTGTGCATGGCCCAGCAAAGGCCTTTGCCTCCTTTTCATTTTACTAATATTTGCAAAATGAAGACAGGACACATCAGTAGACAATCTCCAGAGAAGTACCAGGCCCAGTATCTACATTTCCTACCCCAATGACATAGCGAATGATCCCTGCTTTGTCGGCCTCAGGGATGACATCCTCATAATTCAAGGAATCACCGAATTTTTCTCCATCTGTGATGACAACTAGGATCTTCACAGCATTCTCCCGGGCCCCACTAGTTTTCTGAAACAGTTCTCTTCTGTACAGAGAAGAGAATGGCAGAAGCACAAATAGACAGAGATGTTGTTAGCATCCGGCATGAAACAGCACCAAAGTCCCAATCACAGCTACAGCTGAGCTCTGTCTGTCAAGGTGGGGCTGCCTCCTCCTGAGTTTGACTGTTTTTGTCTTTATGTTTTGAACACAGAGTCTGGCTGGGTCTCAAATTGGTGATCCCCCTGACTCTATCTCCTGAATAACAGGCCTGCACCACCACATGCAGGCTCCTCATTACTGTTAAATATAGAAAAAATGTAAAGAAATAAAACCTCTTCAGTCCATCATTAAATCTTACCCAGAATACTATACAAGCTTTCTAATTCATTTTCCTACACATGTGTTGTGGGGAGAAAGTGGGGTGGGGTAAAATATCATACCTCAGCAGCTGTCTATTGTGGATATTAATTTAAGATGTGTTACATTTGTTTATGCTGTGGAATATTTGTTTAATAATGCAAAGATGTATTGCATTCTTTTATGTTGCATTTGTTTAACTCTACGAAGCTGTGTTACTGTGCCTGTCTAAAACACTTGATTGGTCTAATAAAGAGCTGAATGGCCAATAGATGGGCAGGAGAAAGGATAAGTGGGGCTGGCAGGCAGAGAGAATAAGTAGGAGAAAAAGAGCAAAGAGGAAGAAGGAATGAGAAAAGAAGGAAGAGGACATCAGGGGCCAGTCACCCAGCTACACAGCAAGCCACGGAGTAAGAAGGAAAGAAAAGATATACAGAAATAGGGAAAGGTAAAAGCCCAGAGGCAAAAAGTAGATGGGATGATTTAAGTTTAAAAAAAAAAAAGCTAGAAATAAGCCAAGCTAAGGCCGGGCATTTATAAGTAAGAATAAGACTTGGTGTGTGATTCATTTGGGAGCTGGGTAGAAGACTCCCCTGACCACCAAAGAGTAAAGAGTAGTGAAAAAACAAACAACAGCTGTCCACCTTGTTTTGAGGCAGGGTCTCTCACTGTCCTGGCACTTCAAGCTCCAGGGATCCTCCTCTCTGTGCCTCCCTCCCTGGCATTAGGATTCCAAGTGAATTGCCACTGAGTCTGGCTTTTCTACATGGGTTCTGGGGATGGAACTCAGGTCTAAGGTTTGCATTGCAAGCCCTTTATTAACCAACCTATGTCCCCTGCACCTCATCTTCTTACTCTCTGTCCAACACCACAATCCCCTCTGTACACAAACAAAAAGCAAAGCCATCTTAGAAACAAAAAAGACAGAATGTCTCCCTCCTGCTTAAAACCTGCCGTGGGACAGTTAGCCACACTGACTAGAAAGTTGCATTTGGTGAGGACATGGATTTAACCTACTTTAATTTCGTCTTTTTGTTGTTTTGTTTTGGTTTGGTTTGGTTTGGTTGGTTGGTGGGTTGGTTGGTTGGTTGGTGGGTTGGTTGGTGGATTGGTTGGTTGGTTGGTGGGTGGGTTGGTTGGTGGGCTGGTTGGTTGGTTGGTTGACTGGTTGGTTGGTTGGTTGACTGGTTGGTTGGCTGGTTGGTTGGTTGGTTGGCTGGTTGGTTGGTTGGTTGGTTGGTGGGTTGGCTGGTTGGTTGGTTGGTTGGTTGGTGGGTAGGTTGGTTGGTGGGTTGGTTGGTGGGTTGGTTGGTGGGTGGGTTGGTTGGTTGGTTGGTGGGTGGGTTAGTGGGTTGGTTGGTGGGTTTGTTGGTGGGTTGGTGGGTGGGTTGGTTGGTTGGGTGGGTGGGTTGGTGGGTTGGTTGGTTGGTTGGTTGGTGGGTGGGTTGGTGGGTTGGTTGGTTGGTTGGTTGGTGGGTGGGTTGGTTGGTTGGTTGGTGGGTGGGTGGGTGGGTTGGTTGGTTGGTGAGTGGGTTGGTGGGTTGGTTGGTTGGTTGGTTAGTTGGTTGGTGGGTGGGTTGGTTGATTGGTTGGTTGGTGGGTGGGTGGGTTGGTTGGTGGGTTGGTTTGTTTGTTTGTTTGGTTGGTTGGTTGGTTGGTTGGTTGGTGGGTTGGTTGGTTGGTGGGTGGGTTGGTTGGTTGGTGGGTTGGTTGGTTGATTGGTTTCTTACGGTGCTGAAGGTCCATCCCAGCAACTTCCATTGGTTAGGCCAGCACTCTGCCAAGGCCACATGCCCAGAATAGTTTCAAACCATCTTTCCAGCCATGTTCTTGTTGCCTCATTAAACTGGTGCTTTTAACTGCAGCCTGTGTTTACATGAACATTCTTCAAACAGTTTTGCCCTCTGGAAAATACGTCACCCGTCCCTGTCTGAGCAGCTCTCTTGCCCTTCACCCTCTGGCTGAAAGTACCATTGTCTCCATCTCCGGAAGCAAAGATGTCAACTCACACTACTCTGCGGATCCCTGTGGCGGTTTTTGTCCATCCTCTCAGCTGAGATATGTTGCTCACATGTGACCTCGGGTTAGGTTTTTTCTTGAAATCGTTAAAGTTGAAGTGAGTCTGGAAGCTGTCGGAGTACTGCATCAAAGAGAACTAGGGACAGGGCACCTGGCATTACACCAGAGAAAGTGCCCACCCCCCGCCCACCCACCCCCCACACACAGACTGTACACATCTTTTTGACAATACTAGAGCTCAGCAAGACTGACGTGTGGGTTTCATCCCCCTATCAATTAATGAGGGCCACCTACTTGAAAGGAGCCAAAGAATGCTAAGATGGCAACCAGCACGGGAGAGAAGAGCATGGAGAGGTAATACTACCGTCCAACCCCACATTTGTGTCCATCCAACAGCCTGGTTGTCATGAATCTGTCAGCCTTAGGTAGGGCTACCCAGCAGCCCTCACCAAGGTTTTAGACTTTATGAACTGTTCCATCACAGTTGAGACAAACTCCTTCATCTTCTGAAAGTCTCTGGGGTTAATGCTACCAGAGCCGTCGATCAAGAAGGCAATGTCACTCTCCTGCCGAGGACATTCTAGGCAAGAGGTAAAAAGAATAGAAATTAGTTAAGTAATTAGAAACGTCATCTTTGGATGCCAGCTCTCAGCTGGACAATAAGGGACACACACACACACACACACACACACACACATACACACACACACACAAATATAAAACAAATGCTTAAAAAAAAAGTGGGCATGGTGGTGCACACCTTTAATCCCAGCACTTAGGAGGCAGAGGCAGGCGGATCTCTGTGAGAATAGCCTGGCCTATATAGTGAGTTCCAGGATAGCCAGGGATATGTAGAGAGACCTTGTCTCAAAAAAATAAAAAAAAAAAGAAAAGAAAGAAAAAGAAAGTTATAAAAGAAAAAAAAAGACTGTTTTATAATCAGCTTAGGGCTGCCAGGCAGTGTGGGAAAGTGGTTTGAAATGACTATTCAACCCCTCAATTTCGTTCTCAATCAGCAAATGCCTAGGAAACAGGTCTGTATTAGGAAACCACTCATCCCCAACCACTGACAACAATATACTTGAATAGTCCCTATGGTGGTTTGAATGAGAATGGCCCGCATAGGCTCATAGATGTGAATGCTTGGTCACCGGGGAGTGGCATTATTTGAAAGGATTAGGATGTGTGGCCTTGTCAGAGGAACTGTGTCACTGGGGGGTGGGCTTGGAGATTTCCAAAGCCCATGCCAAGCCCTGGGTCTCTCTCTCAGCTAGCAGATCAGGATGCAGTTCTCAGCGACTTCTCCAGCACCACGTCTGCCTGCATGCCGCCACGCTCCCTGTCAGGATGATAATGGACCGACCCTCTGACACTGTGAGCCCGCCCTCGGTTAAATGCTTCCTTTTATAAGTGTCCCTTCACAGCAGTACTGACCAAGACAGCCACCCTCCTCCTGAGTAGGAGAAGCACTGTTAGATTTGTTTCGTCATTTGAGACAGAGTCTCCTGTAGCCCAGGCTAGTTCAAACTCACTATGTAGCTGAAGATGACCTTGAACTTCTGACCCTCATTCCTCCTTCTCCCGAGTGTTAGGATCACAGGTGTAGGCCACTGCACCTAGCAGAGCTGGATTTTTTTTTAAAGATTTATTTATTATGTATACAGTCTGTCTGTATACTAGAAGAGGGCACCAGATCTCATTACAAATGGCTGTGAGGCATCATGTGGTTTCTGGGACTTGAATTCAGGACCTCTAGAAGAACAGCCAGTGTTCTTAACCGCTGAGCCATCTCTCCAGCCCTGGATTTTTTTTTTTTTTTTAAGATTTATTTATTTATTATGTATACAGTGTTCTGTTTGCATGTATCCCTGCAGACCAGAAGAGGGCACCAGATCTCATTACAGATGGTTGTGAGCCACCATATGGGTGCTGGGAATTGAACTCAGGACCTCTGGAAGAACAGCCATCTCTCCAGCCCCGATTTTCTTTTTAAGTTACTTCAAAGGACTAGAATATGGCAGAGGTAATGAGCTGTTAATTCTAAAACAGCCTGAAAACAATTCTCAGCCCTGCCTCCCGTCCTCAAGTCTCTGCCCAAAATGACCTACCTCTGAGAGCCTGTGGGAACTGCTGGGGTGGCCTGAGCAGGTTGGAGCCAAACAGGAAGCACAGTCCACTCGCATATATATTCTCCTTGCAGTCTTGGTGCACAGTGGGGCCGCAGGCCTGAGGGGCAGAGTGCCAGTCAAGGGGCTGCCCCTGCCCCCGGCCCACCATCGCAGAACCTCCACCCTCCACAAGCCCTCCACCCCAGCATCCCCAGGCCTCCCACTTCTCCCCTCAGAGCCCTCTTCTGACCCAGGGTAACTCACCAGCAGCTGAGAGGGGTCTGGAGTGGCAGCCAGGGACAGACCCAAGGACATATTCACAGCCTCTGGGGGCACTGAGAAGACAGACACACGCACAGAAGAGCTGTGAGATGTGGGGTATGTGTGCGCTGTGTGAAGATGTATCGCTGTGATTGGTGTGATAAAGAGCTGAATGGCCAATAGCTAGGCAGGAGGTATAGGTGGGACTCCTGGGCAGAGAGAGCTCTGGGAGGAAGAAAGGCGAAGTCACCAGAGAGATACGGAGAGGAAATAGGAGGTACACGATGGAAGAGAGGTACCGCCGCCACGTGGCAGAACATAGATTAATATAAACATGTTAAGTTATGAGAGCTAGTTGAGACAAGCCTAAGCTAAAGGCCAAGCTTTCATAATCAATAACAAGTTTCTGTGTCATTATTTGTGAGCTGGTGGCCGACCAAAAAGCTTGCCACAATGAAACAGTGACATGAGAGACACACATACCCGTGTTCACTGTCTTGCTCACAATAGCCAAGCACAGAAGCCGGTCAATAGATGACTGAAGAGAGAAAAATGCCGTCTACACAACAGAGTCGCATCCAGCCACAAAGAACAACGAAATGATGTCATTTGCATACAAATGGATAGAATTAAGAAAGGTAAGATTTAAAGTGTGGGGGAGCATTCGGAGTACAGGCAGCAGGAAGAGGCAGGAGATTAAAGAAGGTAAAGAGGGTGAAACGATCGAAATATATTATACACATGCATAAAAATGTCAGCCAGGCATAGAAAGGAACACCTCTAATCCCAGTGGCTGGGAGGCAGAGACAGCAGGATCTCTGTATATGTGAGGCCAATCTGGTCTACACAGCAAGTTCCAGGCCAGCCAGGGCTCCACAGCAAGACCTGGTGTCAAAAATAAAAAATAGCCGGGCGGTGGTGGTGCACGCCTTTAATCCCAGCACTCGGGAGGCAGAGGCAGGAGGATCTCTGTGAGTTCCAGCCAGCCTGGTCTCCAAAGCGAGTTCCAGGACAGCCAAGACTACACAGAGAAACCCTGTCTTGAAAAACTAAAAAAATAAAATAAAATAAAATAAAAAATAAAGGCTAAAAAAGACACTGTGATAATGAAGCCCAATTTCAGGAATGGAGGTGTGGCCCCGCTGGTAGAGCGTGGCCCAGCATGCACAAAGCTTGAGGCCACGTGTGGTGATGCCAATACTTGGGAGTGAAGCAGGAGGATCAGGAGTTTAAGGCTGTCGATAGCTACATAGCAAGTTCGAGGCCAGCTTGGGTAGCAGAGACCTTGCAGAGAGGTGGGGAGAGGGGAAGAGAGGGGTAGAGGGAGAGAGGGACAGGGAAAGGGAGATAATTCTCTCACGTGATATAACATATACTATTTATGTCTACCTGGGAACAGGAGCATTGGCTCAGTCAGTAAAGTCACTATCATGAAAGCTTGAGGGCCTGAGTTTGGGTCCCCAGAACCCACGTAATAAAGTGGGTGAGGTCACACTCATCCGGAACCCCAGTGCTAGAGAGGTGGAGGCAGAAGCAGCCTTGAAATTCATTGACCAGATATCCCAGCAGTCAAGGGTGCTGTTTGCTCTTCTAGGACCTTGGTTTGGTTCCCAGAACCTACATAGCAGCTCACAACTGTCTGTAACTCTGGTTCCAGGGGATCTGACACTCTCTTGTGACCTCCCTGGGCACCAGACATGCATATGGTACATATACATACATGGAGGTGAATATTCATACATGTAACATAAAAATTTAAAAAAAGAAAGAGAAAGAAATTCATTGCCCAGACAACCTAGGCAAACCAATGAGCTCTTGACTCAAAATAAACAAGGGAGCATGCAATCAAGAACGACACCTGATGGCGACGGTGGCCACCACAGGTGGCGCACAGAGCACATTCTCCTGCAAGCACACGTGCATGCACCACACGCATCCAAAATATTTAAATATGAATTGTTTTAGCAAAAGAGCTGCCAAGAGTCGCTTCAGCCTGGGAGACACAGGGTAGACTATGAAAAAGGAGCACAGCAGGGCTGTCTGAGGGGTCCATAGACAAGGCTAGGAAGCCAGGTGCTATCTGCCCAGCAGAGATGAACAGGTTACAGGAATGCCTGGGAAAGCAGGTGTGTTCACAGGAAGACTCCCGTCAGGAGCCAGAGGGAGAGCCGAGACTCACCTTTCAGGGAAATGGGCTCACACCTCCTGGTGCTGTAGTCACACTGGTAGAGGGCACCTGTTTGGTTAACATCTTTTACCTCTTGGGGGGCTGCAACAACCACTCTGTAGAAAGGGGGGTAATAAAGAACCCTCTGAATGTATAGAAACAGTCCTATCTTCCAGAGGGAAGTGAGCTTCCTGAACTCCCATAAACAGAAGGGGAAATTAGCAATGAAAAATAATGTAAATCCTAGAACGGGAAGGTTCTTTCTAAGAATGACACAAAACTCTGAATTTTTAAAAATGGGTTTAAAGAACGATCGCGTGAAGTTAGGATGGAAAGGGGTGGGGTGATAGGAGAGAATGGACCAGGAGGGGAGACGGAGGTTTGCTCAAAATACATTATAAACACATAAGAAATTCTCAAACAATAAAAAATGGATAGTTCAATGACATAACCATTTTAAATAAATGTACAACTATGATAAACGATTACAAGCAAAGTCAAAAGATAAATTGGGGCAAACTGGGAAGGGGAGACTTGAACTTACACCCCAGGTCACCTTCCTCTGGTCTGTCAGTTCCTAAAAACCAGGGAGGGGAAGAGTAGAAAATGGGGAAAGAGAAGAAGAAAAGCACCAACAGACGAGGCTGCTGTGGAACAAGGGCTCTGGGCCCAGAAGGGCCACTGCCACCTTGAACTCTCAGCAGCTGTTTTTACCCGGAAGAGACAGGAATGAGATCTATCGATCCATCAACGCTCCATCTGGAGGGGAGGGGAGGGCTCCCGAGGCTGTTAATGGTTGGCTAGGAGAAAGGTCCTTTTGTAAGTTGTTCATGCTCCTACGGGTAACCCTTTACCTGCACTATAGAAGCAACTCCAGGGAAACACTGGCTCACAGAACTAGACCTGGACAGAGTCATTCCTTAGTCTGCTGCTGATGCCCTACCTGCGGGGAACTTGTGTTCAGGCCTCTCCAGAGAAAGGTCCCTCAACAGAAGGACCTCTCATAAAGGAGAAAATCAGCTGGTGAGATGGCTCCAGTGGGCGAAGGTGCTTGCCACACAGCCTGATGTCCCGAGTTCAATCCCTGGGACCCGTGATGGAAGGAGAGAACCGCCTCCCAAAGGTTGTCCCCTGACTACCATATGTGCGCGCGCACGCACGCACACACACGCGCACACACACACACACACACACACGCACACACACACACGCACACACACACACACACGCACACGCACGCACACGCACGCACACACACGCACGCACACACACGCACGCACACACACACACACACACGCACACACACACACGCGCACACACACGCACACGCACGCGCACACGCACACACACGCACGCACGCACGCACGCGCGCGCACACACACACACACACACACACACACACACGCTGTACATGCATATGCTATTAGATCATGGCCCTGTACCTGATTACTCTAGGAGGCCAGATCTCACAGCCTAAAGAAATCAGGCCACATCCCCCTGAAGCTGTGCCTGTGGTCTTATAACTAATCTACCACCTAACCATTGCCTGGCACCCCATTCTGCTCATCACATATACCACCCCACACTAAATCATGTGCTGCAAAACTTCCCATTATCTCCTGAAAAAATATAAAAGTTGAGCATTTTTCTTTGGCTTCTGGGATTTCTCACAGTTTTCCTCTGGGCCTCCCCCACCAACCTATCATGACAACTATCTGTCTCTCTCTTTAATCTCTCTCTCTCTCTCTCTCTCTCTCTCTCTCTCTCTCTCTCTCTCTGGTTTATTTGTTTGTTTGTTTGTTTGTTTGTTTGTTTTTGAGACAGGGTCTCACTATGTCACTCTGGCTGTCCTGGAACTCGTTGTATAGACCAGGCTGGCCTTAAACTCACACAGATCTGCCTGCCTTTGCATCCTGAGTGCTAGGATCAAAGGTGTATATCACCACACCAAGCTAAGAGTGTTTTTTAATTATATGTGTGTTCGTATCCCTGTGTGGGGGTATATGCATGTGAGTTTAGTGTTTGAGGAGATTGGAGGCACAAGATCCCCCTGGCCACTCCTTTCTTCTATCCACCATACACAATAATAATAATAATAATAATAATAATAATAGTCATCTTTAAAAAAATAAGGGGAGTAGAGAGATGGTTCAGCAGTTAAGAGCAGTGGCTGCTCTTCCATAGGACCCAGCTTCAATTCCCAGTGCCCACACAGCAGGGGATAATGGATCAGGAAGAGCTAAGAGAGGGGTAAGTCCAGAGAGGGGTAACCAACAATAGAAACAGAAAGAAAGCGGTGGTGGCGCACGCCTTTAATTCCAACACTTGGGAGGCAGGGGCAGGAGGATCTCTGAATTCAAGGTCAGCCTGGTCTACAGAGAGAGTTCCAGGACAGCCCGGGCAATGCAGAGAAACCCCATCTTGAAAAACAAAACAAAACAAAAGAAGAAAGCAATATGGAAACCAACTACTCTAGAAGCTTCCTAAAATATATACACCGTATGTATGTGTGCACACACATACACACATTTTTATTTTTTTCTGTGTATGCAACTCACGCATACACTCCCACACAGATACACACACATATAATTTTTTAAAATTTAATATATATATGAAATTTATAAGGAGTTACCCTATAATGAGGGAGGCAATTCCTCTCCCAGACACCAGGAGCTATCAAAAAGCCCAGAGAGCAGCTATGACTCCAGTTCCAAGTCTTCTGCTGCCCTCTTCTGGCCTCTTCAGGCACTGCATGTCCATGGTGCACAGATTACACTCAAACTCTCACAGTTAAAATAAATAAAATCTTTTTTGAGAAAAAATAATTTTTTTAATGTTCATCATCTTTATCTATCAGGGAAACGCAAATTAAAACTACTTTGAGATTTCATCTTACCCCAGTCAGAATGACTAAGATTTTTTAAAAATTACAACAAATGCTGACGTGAAATTGCTGTTGGTGGGGGTGTGAACTGGTGCAGCCACTCTGGAAATTAGTGTGGAGGTTCCTCAAAAAGATCAAAAGAGATCTACCACGAGACCCAGCTATATCATGTCATGTCTGGGCATATACTCAAATGGCTCCATTTTCTTATACAGAGATCCCTGCTCGTCTATGTTCATGGCTGCTGTAGTCACAACAGCCAGGAAACGGAAACAGCCGAGGTGTCCCTCAACTAAAGGATAATGAAAGCGTGGTACATACGTATACATAGTGCGCTATGATTCCGCTATGAAGAAAAATGAAATTTGCAGGGACATGGATGGAGCTAGAAATAATCATTCTGAGTGAGGTAACCCAGACCCAAAAAGACAAATGCCACATAGTCTCGCTCATATGCAGGTGCTGTCTTTGAATCTTTTGGATGTATATGTTTAAACTGGAGTGCCAATAGAAGTCAGGAAAATAATAATGGATCATGGCAGGGGACGGTCAAGGGAGAAGGCATAGAATGAAGGTGGTGTGGAGAGAGAAGGGAGGTAACGGAGCAGGAGCTAAGAGAGGAGTGAGTGTGGGGAGGGGTAACTAACAATAAAAACCTTTAAAAAAAAAAGCAAAACTAACTACTATAGAAACTTCCTAAAATATATACATCACACATATGTGTGTATATCACATGCACATACACACACACAAAAAAAAATTATATGGTGTTAACCTATAATGAGGAGGGAATTTCCTCTCCCAGATACCATGAGCTATCAAATAAAAAGTCCAGCTATAAAGTGCCTCATTTTGAGTTGTTGGTCAGTGGGATCCCATAGACTTCCTCCCTAAACATCACAGGCTGTTGCCATTGCTCTTGGCTACCCTCCAGAGTTTGATGGCAATGACTCATTGCTTAAGACGACGCATCCTTGAGACATAGAATATGGAGAAATCAAGTGGTACCGAGCTGGAAACTTCATCCCTACTGGCCAGCTGCCATGGTGCTGGAAAGCTCTACGCATATTACCATCAGAGAAAAGTAATCAAATGCTTTACACAGCTGTGGACCTTTTGGTTACAATAAGGACTGGCCTGGCAAGATATCCAAGTGTGTACTGGTGTAATAGCGGCATGAATGTTATGGGAGTGTGTTTGTTTTACTTTCTGTCAACCTAGACATATGTGGGAAAGGGTCATCTCAATGAAGGAGTTGCCTCCATCAAATTGACCTAGAAGGGCATTTTCTTGACGGGTGGCTTGATGTGAGACCTGTGAGCAACGCCACCCCTGGGCAGGTGGCTCGGAGTTGCTTAAGAAAGCAGGCTAAGTAAGCCAATAAGCAATATTCCTCCAGGGCTTCTGCTTCAGTTCCTGCCTCTAAGTTCCAGTCTCTAGACTCCTGCCCTGGCTTCCCTCAGTGGACCATGATCCGGGCTCTGTAAGCCAAATCAACCCTTTCCTCCCCAAGTTCCTTTAGGCCATGATGTTTTATCAGAGCAGTAGAAACTCAGATGAGGAGCAACCAACCACCACTTTCTACTTGCATTAAAGTTCTGCTCCACAAGACAAAATTCATGTCTAGTACTGTTAACTGGGTCAAGATTACTGTAGCTAGGTAAGTCATAGGCCCAAGGGGAGAACTACCTACTATTAGTCTACTAAGTGGGCACAGAATTAAACTTCTTTCTAAGTTCTTAACATGACACCCGTAGATCAGTGCATTTCTCAGTGCTCATTAGAGAAGCTTCCTTTTAAGTAGATGACAAAGACTCACAACTGTTCCATTCCAGAGAATAAGGGAGTGGAAGTACCCAGCTCTAAACGAGACATCTATACCACGTGCTTCCTCTCAAGGCTCCGGAATCATTACAGACAGGAAGTGGAAAGATGATGAGAGCTAGAGGCGATGGAAAACTGTTCTCTGGACATGACAACACTGTTGCCATATGAACTCGGCCTCGGCAACTGCAGACACCAGCACTTTTGCACTCTGAAAAGATTATTTCCATAATGAATCCCAGGAAACATTTCTCTAAAGGTAAGTGTTTTAGGCTTAATAGACCATAGCCCCTTATCATTTCTCTTTATTCTGTGATAGCAAGTGAGCAAGGTAAGATTTATTTTCATAGCAGAGACATGGTTCAGTGAGTAAAGGCACTTGCTTCAAAACCTATGAGCTAAGTTCATCCTTAGGGCCCACATGGAGAAACCAACCCACACAAGCAATTCAGACTTCTGCACATGCATGCTGTGGCATGTACACACACACACACACACACACACACACACACACACACACACACACACACGTCTTAGAAGTATTTACGGTAATAACATATGGTTATTACCGTACATGTTCAATGAGGTCATAACTTGAACATAGCTCATGCTACAGCTTGAGGGTAGGGAGGTGGGCAGCAGTTAGGAGGTAGATAGAAAGAGATAAAAATCTCTCCTGAAGAACTACAAGAAGCCAATTGTCAGGATCACTCCTAGGAAGAGAAGGACGGAGTAAAAAACACATTTTGCTCTCAACTTTCTCAGATCTTGTGAATTTGGAATCCTGAAACCTCATTACAGATTCAAAAAAAAGGAAAAAAAAATCAACCAAGAGGGCCAGGGGTGTAGCTTAGTGGTAGCAAGCCTTGGGGTTCATCCCTAGCAAAGAAAAGAAAGAGAGAAGGGCAGAGGGAAGGAGGGAGGGAGGGAGGGAGGGAGGGAGGGAGGGAAAGAAACCTCAATAAGGAAACTCTTATTTTTTTCCCCTAACTTTCAGAGAAGCACCAAGACGGGCCCCCTCCCTGCCCCCGCCGCCGCCAGGCCTTTACCGAGAGTCACCGAGCTGGACCACACTCTGCCCAAAGCCTCTTGCATTCTCTTGGAAGGTCATGGGATTTTCAGTGTCCAGATTGAATCCGTGACATAAGGCTAGGGCTGGAAAGACAACAGGAAGTCAACGCAAAGGAACCAACACGGTTAAGAGAACAGCACACCTTTCCACTCGTGACCTTTTCCTGACCCCATTCACTGAAACTTCGACAGTCAGGGGCCGGGGTCCACACGGTGGTGGGACTTGTCTGGTCGGTTTTTGAGACAGAGTTGTATATTACCCGACCTAGAACACTACAGTGTAACTCTGGATGACCTAGACCTCCTGAGCCTCCCGCCTCCACTCTACCTCCCAAATGCTGGGGGTGCAGGGGGTGCAGGGCTAGGCCACCACACCACGGTCCGTTCTCTTTTTCTACAGAGGACCAGACAGTTAAGCGGAACCCAGCACTGGGGGGATGGGGGAGCAGAGGCAACAGCCGTGCCACAAGTTTGAGCCCAGCCTAGTCTCGGTAGTGAGTTTCAGACCAGTCAGGACCACATGGTAAGACCATGGAGGAAAGCTTTTGGGGACAGGGTCTCACACAGCCTAGGCTGGCCCTGAATGCCTTCTGAGGTGAAAACCATCTTGAGCCCCGGATGCTCCTGCCTCCACCTCCCACTGCTAGAATCACAGGTGGGTACCACCACGTCCAGTGGTCTTGGAGATCAGATCTAGGGCTTCATACAGACTAGGGAAGCCCCGGGCCTCAGATCCACCAACGTTTCATCAAGGGAATTCAGACTGTAAGCTGTTATTACTATTTCTGTGATACAGGATTACTCATGTGATGAATGAGATTCTTGAGGAGTGGCATTTCACTCAACTAGGAGTAAAGTTAGTGTCCTCTGTCAGCAATGAATGATAAGTGGTCATCTTCAAAACAGGTGACAGCTACCTTGAACCCGTACCAAAGGTGCTGATTCACAGCTCAAGGGTCTATAAGAGCCTGTAGGAACAAACCAGTCCCTCTCTAAGCCCACAAAGGCCTCTTCCCCCCAGCTGTCACAACCACAATGATTTACACAACAATCAAAGGCCTTGGTTAGAAATTTTCCTTCCTCTGCAGGTCTCAAGCAGTTCTTCCCCTTCCTGACTCACTCCCAACAACACAGACATGAAAGGAAAGGACCTCAAACCGCTTTTTGATTCAGCGGCATTCGCACTAGGTCCTTGTTGACTAGAACTTAAGGCTAAGTGGGTGGAACACAGGAGGAAACACTCTGGAAGCAGAGAGCACACCTACGTGCTCCCTGGTGCTGTCCGCATCTCTCTGTACCTCAGTAGCCTCGTCATGACAAATAGTCTTGCAGAGTCAATGGATTTAGTCCCTCACCCATGCTTCCCTGACCACCCCTCTGGAAGAGAGTGTCTGCCTCCACTCTATTTCTCCTTGAATCATTTATTCTTCCCTAAAGCCCTTTGCCTCTCCCCACCTAACTCCTTCCCATGCTCTGCCCTTTCTCTCCACTTGTGCACCCAAAAGATCCCCTCCTCCCCATCCTGGAGACCCCCTAATTCCTCCTCCCCACCCTGGAGACCCACTAGTCCCTCCTCCCCACCCTGGAGACCCCCTAATCCCTCCTCCCCACCCTGGAGACCCCCTAATCCCTCCTCCCCACCCTGGAGACCCCCTAATCCCTCCTCCCCACCCTGGAGACCCCTTAACCCCTCCTCCCCACTCTGAGGATCCCCCAGGACCCAGACATACCTGTCACCAGAAGAACTTTAAAAGTCATGACTGAAAGAAACAAGCCCCTGGGAGACCTGTGAACTGTGGGGCGGCAGGCACCACACAGATATTGAGGAAGCCACCAAGACCAGAGGAGTAAAAATAGAGAAGTAGGAGGCAAAGCCTACGAGCCAGCAGCGAGCCAGCGAGCGAGCGAGCGAGTGAGCGAGTCGGAGGAAGAGGGCGGAGGCACTGCAAACACCCAGCCCTGCTTAGCCGTGCTCAGGGACAGCGTGGCCTGCTCTTCCTAGCAACCCCGGTTCCTGACCCAAACCATGAAGGTCACCACCCACAGGTGCCATCTGACACTCATTTCCCCTAGGATAGGTCAGATGCTACGAAAAGTAAGTCGGGTAGATGGCAGTGCCAGGCTGCTCTGGTGGGACCCACGTCTGCGCGACTGGTTCCCGGGACCCACCCGGAGACTCCAAATCGTCTACAGCTCCAGTCCCAGGGGATCTAATACCCCCTCTGATCTCCAGTGGCACTGCACACGCATGGGCACGCACAAGCATGCAGATAAAACACCCACACACATAACATAAAATTAAATCTCTTTTTAAAAGAAATAGCCAGGAGATGTTAGTCCAGCAAGACGGCTCAGCGGATAAAGGTGCTTGCCATTCAGCACGGAGTGCCTGAGTATGGTGAGATATTTAACCACTCCTGTCTTGTTAGGTATGCATTTTATTCTAGGTTTTTGGTTTGGTTGTTTTGTTTTGTTTTGTTTTTGGTTTGGTTTTTTTTTTTTTTTTTTTTTTTTTTTTTGAGGGTTTCTCTGTGTAGTTTTGGTTCCTGTCCTGGATCTCACTCTGTAGCCCAGGCTGGCCTTGAACTCAGAGATCCGCCTGGCTCTACCTCCTGAATGCTAGGATTACAGGTGTGTGCCACCATATTCAGCCAAGAAATACCCTGCCGTCTTAACTGCCATGACAAGCAGCCAGGACTTCTTCAGATGCGGGGGAGGGGATGAGTGACACATTTGAGACCCTGGGTCTCCCGAGACCCTGGGACTAAACTTACTTAGCTGCAGAGGCATCACCACAGCCCTTTTCAGGGGCCTTGCCGTTGTGCCTGGACAAGAAGGGAGAGGCTCTGTCTCTGGATCCTGCTAAGGTCAAACATGGCAGGAGAAGAAGGTTCTTCAGCTCACAACAGCAGAGTGAGGAGGGGCTGGCGACCAGACGCAAGCTTCCAACACCCTCCCCACCTTAAGGGTGGATCTTGAAAATTGTCAATTTGATCGGATCTGGAATCAACTAAGAGCCTCTCGGTGGATCTCCGAAGGAATTTTCAGAAATGACTAACAAACAAGATGCCCCTCAGGGTGGCTGGCACTGTCTAACGGGTGTCCCAGATATAAAGAGGTTGGAGGGAAGACAGCATGGCTTGCCCACCTGCCCTCACATCTCACTAGTGGGTGTGTCCTGTATCTGCTGTGGCCACCATCCTTCACTGGCATCAGACTCCAGCTTCTTTGATTCTCCTACATCGACTGAGGACCAGAAATTCTCCAGAAACCTTTCAGACCTTCAGTTGCAGATTAAAACTGTTGAGACATCCAGGTTCGTGGACTGAGAATCTACCAGGTTCTCAGCCTCACAAGTACACGGACAGCTGTTGATGGACTACCCAAGCCCTATCATGTAGGCCATTCCAGTGAATTCGCTTTTATCACACACACACACACACACACACACACACACACACACACACACACACACACACTATTAGTTCTGTTCCTTTAAACAGCCTATCATCCAGAAGGGACCATTTTACCAAATAGGCCCCACTTCCTGCAGTTTCTAGACCCTCCCAAAATAGTGCTACAAACTAGGAACTAAGCATCAACACATGACTGGAGGCTGAGGGATGGACCATTTCATATCTAAGTCATAACAGGGAGTCATTTAATAGACGGTATGAGTTTATTTTGATAAAATCCTCCACATTCTGACCAACCCAAGGGGCTATTCTAACTCAGCATCGAAGGCTCTTCTTGTATGAGCAGTGGCTAAGGGTCCACTGACTGCAAAGATCTAGGCAAGTCTCAGAAGAGCTGTCCAATCCAAAGAGTTTTTCTCAATGACCTACAGTTCTGATGTAATTTCTGTTGCTGTGATAAAACACCATGACCAAAAGCAACTTTAAGAGTGTTTATTTTAGCTTAAAATTCCAGGTGAGAGTCCATCATTTCAGGAAAGGCAAAGCCAGGATTCACGCAGCTGTCACATCACATCTATAGTCAAGAGCAGAAAGACAAAATACACCATGCTGCTTGCTCCCTGGCTTTCTTCACATGGACACAGTCCAGGGCCCAGCTGAAAAACAAATGTTCCTACCCACAGAGGGCTGCTTGTTCAACATCAATTAACAATCAAGGCCATCACCCACAGGCCAGCCCGATTGAAACAGTCTCTCAACTGAGGCTTTCTGATCATGTGACTCTAGGTTGTGGCAAGTTGACATTTAAAACCAGCAATCACAGAGGCTGGAGAGATGACTCAGCAGTTAAGAGCAGTTGTTGCTCTGGCAGAGGACCCGGGTTCAATTCCAGCACCCACATGGCAGCTCACAACCATCTGTGATGCCTGTTCCAGGGGATCCAACAACCTCTTCTGGCTTCTGTGGGCACCAGGCACTGGTTGTACAGAGATATATATATATATATATATATATATATATATATATATATATATATATATATATATATATATATATATATATAATATTATATATTATATATAAAATATTATATATTATATATTATATATATATTATATATGCAGACAAAATGCCCATACATGGTGAAAAGAAAATCACACCCACCAACAGGTGTGCCCCAACCAGATGACTGTGGGCGTGTTGCTAGCCCAGCCCTCCCATACCCACTCTTTCTTCTTTTCTTTCCTGTGGCTGAGCATCTAACAGGTACAAATAACATGCTTGGAAGGTGATCTGGAAAAGTGGAGGTGTGGGCAAGAGAAAAAGCTCAGAGAAAGTTACTTCTGTAGAAAACTGGAGCTCAGTACACCAGAACACTCTGGGAACCTCAGTTGCCTGTTTGAGGGACAAGGAATCTAGACACTACTACATAACTCACATTAGCTATTGGGTTATCTGTGAGAAATCCTCCACTCTCAGACCCAGCCTGCCCTTCACCCAAGTAGAGCAGATTCCACTCTGGTAAGTAGTTGATGGTTCTCTTGCAAGGCCAGCTTGCATAAGAATGTCACATGCTGAAGGGACATGGATGGGGCAACCATAGCATTTGCTACAGATAAGCAGTTTTTCATAATACTTGATAGGTTTTCATACCCCGATATTAGGTTTCTCCACTGACACAGTAAGCCAGATCAAGCCGAATTAAAAAAGACCAGGTTTAATGAGCAAAGCACTCTTGGGTGACCTTCCAGCCCCCAGAGGTGAGGCAGGGAAAGGGAGCAAGAGAAATAAATCATATGGCAAGTCTAGAGCACACGGGGGTGGGGGGTGAGGGTGGGGGGGATGCTTAAATACCCTGTAGACATGGTCTTGAGCTTGCGGGGAGGAGCCTGGACTTTTTATGAGAGAGGCAGGGTTTGGAAAGGTAGGACTGGGGCCAAGGTGGAGTTTCCAGTCAAAAATCCTGACCTTCTTGGATATGTGGGCACTGGTTCAAGTCTGGCTATTTCCTTTTGGCATGGGATGATTGAGGAGGGGGAGTCAGTGGGCTCATGCTCAGTGGGAGGTATCAGTGAAGGAGCATTTGCTTAACTGCCATGACCTCAGGAATCTGTTTCCTGAGGAAGCGGAGAAGGCAAGTTGCTAGGAGGAAAAATAGGTCACTGGCCCTATGAATGGGGTTAGCCATGGGAAGAGTGAAGACTACCAGAAAGAATGGAACGGAGATGTGCCTTGGTTGTACAGAAGAGACAAGGGTGAAGAGCCAGACACAAGAGCAGATATGCCCTTCATTGGGACATTTTGAAAAATTGGAGGGCGGAGGGTCCCAGTTACTGGGCAGACCATTTATAGGCGCTTGCTTGAGCCCAAAGAGGTGGTACCAGCACTGATGTCCCAGGAACTTGGGGAGATATGGAGTTTCCAGGAGATGTTGAGGGCTTCAGACATGAGCTTGACGACCCTGGAAGTGAAGGCATGGCCGTTGTCTGTTTGGACGGTCTGTGGCACGCCAAATCGAGGGATGATGTGTTCCAGGAGTGCTGTTTCCCCGGAGATGGGGAGTGCCTCCATCCAGCCTGCAAAGGTATCAACAAGAGTCAGGTGATGGCAGAGCTTTTTATGAGTGGGCATGTGGGTGAAGTCAACCCACCAGTCCTTGCCCAGTTGGTGTCCTGGGAGCTGGTGCAAAGGCTGGTGTGTCTGGAGAGTACCCTGTGAGTTGGCTTTGGCACACAGCTGACAGGAGTGGACCTGTAAAATATAGGCTCAAAGATGGGTGGGGTTGAAGAGGGGCTCTTGAGACTGATGTTAGTTTCCACCAGGCCAGATTTCTTGATACAGTAACAGAACTCTTTTCCTGGGAACCTGCAGGTGCCTGTAAAACAGCTGGAACAGATTTACACCTTGGAGTCATAGCAAAGGCTACGGCTCTGGGTTAAAAGGGATGAACAGTTTTCCTAGGGCCTGGTTTTTAGCCCGATGAAACAACACCTTTAAGTCTATACTTAGAAGACGACAGAGGAAATTTACTGAACAAGAGAGGTTGAGCAAGCAAAGGAGGAAGAGGGACGGAGACTGAGAAGCAAGGGAGGAGGAGCAGAGTTGAAGACACACGCAGGCTTCCGTACCACCTTCAATGCTAACCTGCTTCAGAGGGAGGAATGAGCAGCCATGGACTGGTGAACTGCTGTTAGCACCGTGCTTTTCAGCAACACTTCAGCAGAGTTTTGCTGCATGTGGCTGGAGACAATACAGTCACGCTGAAAAAGCCTCTGTGCAGTCCTGTTAGTGTCGTAAAGAACCTAAAAGCTGGGGCCAGTAAAATCCACAGAAATTTAAGAACTTCTGAAAACTGTAGTCAATGCTCTATCCGTTTATCAAAACTCCATGTGTCAATGCTAAAACTCTGAAACCTGTTTATCCTTTACTATGAAGCCTGTGAACAAGGCAAACCTGTCTGTATTTTAACAAGAAACTTAACTAATGAACTAATGAGCTACCAAGGTGGTTGTAGGCTTGGGGGTCAGGGGAGAGCTGTTAAACTGATAAATCTATCATTACCCTAGTCATCCAACACCATCAGATCTGAGAAGGAGAAATTTTACCTGAGTAAGCAGAAGTGACAGGAGCTTACCAGCTACCTAGGCAGCTATCCCAGGTTCCTCCATGGTTGTTGGGGACAGAGGTCCCAAGGCATATCATTCTTCAGCTACCAGGACCAGAATATCTGACAGTCTTTCCTGTGAAGTAGGAA